TCTGTAATTTAATTCACATCAAATAGAATTCCATGAATTCGATACATTTCAGTTGTCATACAAAGCAACAACAAAAAACTTAAGAAACAAACTTCACACGAATATACATTCATTTCCACATTACACAAATGTGTTAAATCCATATTCTCCAACTCAAACACTTTTGCCACCACATAAGCACTTCTAATATTTCCGTAAGACCTCCAACTGTCATGTGAATGTCACTCAACAAACAGCTTCAGAGAATATTAGACAAATAATCCGGCTATTTATTTTTGTGGCTACATAGATATGTGAATTTAAAGCGATAGAAGAGATGGAAAGGTAAACCCACAACAACAACGACAACATCTTCAGAATATATATTTAGATGTGTATGTGTCGGTGTATTTGTGCCCGCTTTTATTTAAGCCTTCAATTACATGCGATAAACTAAAGAAAACAACAAAAACAACAGCAAAGATACAAATCTCAAACATGATAGGTGACATGAACATTCGTGTAGGTGTCGGCGACAGTAATACGATCTTGGACCACACGAATGTAATTTTAATAAAATGGTTGTGGTAGCTGAATGTATTCAATATTCTGCTATCGGTTGTTTTGTTGAGATAAAAATTCATTAGCAATTTTTTATTATTATTTTTTCTTTTTTTATATTCTACATATGTAAAGATGTAAGTAATCGATATATGTGCCGTACGTTGTTTTTATTTACATGTCAAGGTATTAAATGTAGTATGTGTAAAATTATTAAATGCAATCCCTTTGTATATCATTTCCAACATCCAGACATTCTGAATTAGTTGCATGGCTCCTAGTTTCTGCTTTCCGTTAATGCTGCCACACCCTGCAATCGATTATGTTCATTCCAACGTATGCTAGTCTTCCCTTTCGAGGAATTTGTTTGTGGTGTTTTATGTCAATATGGTCTTTGTTGGTCCTTTATATGGAAAAGGAAAGCTACACATATAGCGAAGATGTTAAGAAAATACATTGTTGCATGTGTTTCTTATAATGTGATTTTTAAATCGATACACATTAGGTCAGAGCGATTAGTATAGAAGGAAACAAATATTAATTGGCACTTCGAGTATTCGATTTTTATGATTGTACTGAGCAAAAAAGGCTTTTTGCTCAGACCTGTGCCACATTATAGCAGATACCTTGACCTTGTCATACATTTCAGGTTATCGATACACCAGTAAGACAAAAGCATTGAATCGCTCCTGCAGGCACTTATCGCATTGTGAATGTAACATTTTTTCCTGAAAATATTCTTAAATATTATCACAGCATAAAATAATAAAAATATTTATACTTTTTATAATGTTTCCTTCTTTTTCTTTTATTTTGAAAATTATGAGAAATTCAGTTAAAATAATAAATAATAGTATTCGTAGGGACAATGTATGAATCAGGAAAAAATCTATTGATTTCAAACCGGCGACTTTTTTAACGATAAAAACGCGGTATTGATCGGTCGCCGTACAGCCATGATATGACACCCTATGACTTTCGGAGTAGAATATAGCCCATGTACCTCGAAATAATCGTCAGAGAATCCGCAAATTCGAGTAAGTTATGCCCGCTTGTCTGTCGGTCGGCCCAGTCCGACTATATGATACCCTTCACCACTTTGGATATATTCTATACATGTATCCGCACAAACTTCGCCTTTTCAAAAGAATATTGACATGCAATTGAACGAACTTTGACATGTGATCTTCATCTATATGTAAACCGACTAACATCAATCCATACGTATGCTATTCTGCAACCTATGTTCAAATCGGACGAAACTATATATGGGAGAGTTCGTCTCTGGGCCAAATAAATGAGCTGTGACAAATTTCGTCCAATTGGGATTGTAAATTCGACCTGTAATTTGTTTACAATTTAACATGTACAGACGGACGGACATGCATAAATCGACTCAGAAAGTGATTCTATGAATGCTTTCAAATAGAAACTTGTGTCTATCTCGTTTCCTTTTGCCTGTTACAAACATATTCACAAATATATAAATACCCTGTACCACAGTGTGGTGAAGGGTACAAATATGATTTCGAAGGGTAGAAATATGCAGGGTACCAAATTGAGCCTGGTATGAGGTGAGTAAAGTTTAGTCCAAATCGGTTCAGATTTTTATACAAAGCTCTCATATATTTGAGATGAAATTTTGCATTGGGTGTTGATACGTCTAGAATGGCGCATTATAAGTATTGTTAAAATCGTTTCAGATTTGGATATAGCTCCTATGTATTCTTGTCTTATTTTACATACAGATTTCGGACAAATTGTGCATCAAATAATTACCGGTTGTCCGATTGAGATAATATTTTGGAAAATTTGGTTCTAAAATAAAACCAATTGAGTGGAACTTCAAAACCGAATAATGCAATTTGGAGTTGTCTACCATCCAGACCGCAACCCAATTCAGAGGACAAAATTGACTTAATTTTGCGTTTCTGCTACTTTTTAAACTATGAATCTTGTAAAATATCAATATTATTGAAGTTAATATTTACTTATCTATTTAGAAATCTTTAAAGCATTGGTTCCATCAAGAATAATAAAAAAAGAGAATATTATAAATATTAGTGTTATAACATGTTTGTCCATAATAGACGATTGAAAATGTTTGTGCACAACAAAACGATGGAAAAGGTATAGTGGGCCCTTCCCTTTTTTTGTTTTTTTTTTTTTTTGCACTCCACAAATATTGTACTGTTGTTGTTGCCATCGAAAATACATTTAAAATATGAACTGGTTTACATAAATGCCATTACATAGGATATGCAAATTAGCAAAGACTGTCATTATAAGATGCATAACGTTCTAAACTATAAATCAAATTAGGAAAAAGGGGAAATGCATAATTTTTGTTTCTTCTTGTGGCTGAAGCATTTGCATAAAACATATGGTTTTAATCATAATTTCAGAGCAGACAATGCAATTCCCTTGGTGTACGTATGTATGAATATAAGGGGACAAAATCGATTTGTATGTTATATGTATTTATAAACACATATGAATACTGCAAGAAGTAAGTACAAGAAAAATAGAATGTATTCTATTCCATTGTGAAAATTGTATTATATGCATACATTTCTAATATATTTTCTACACAACAAGATCAGTAAGAATATCTAGCCTTTTACATTTTTAAAAAATAGAAACCAATAAAAAATATATCCACTTAAGAAAAATAAAAATGACACTAAATTATCGCTTTAAAAATGTTATATGATTTTTATGGTCAAAATCAATTTGTGTTAAAATTGCAAAACTATCTCTAGAGGATTAATTTTTATATCTTCCATCAACTACTCATCGACGGATGAGTGAGCTTGGAAAACTTGCAAGCAAACCACAACTTACATGAAAGTGACTTGTTGATTAAACAAAAGAAAGCAATTTTCAATAAAAAACGAAATAAAAATGAGCATGGAAAGGAAGAACAGGCCACCACAAAGTTTTTGTTAGTCTTTTTATTGGCAAAGACAATATAGACCTGCGTTTTTTGTCAGAAAACAAAATAAACGCACCCTTTGAAACTAAATCTGTGTGGTGACATACGAATTTTTTGCTTTGTAACTTTATTCTGTTTGCCACAACAGAAGTATTGAAAATCTGACACGCATGCCTTGTGAAACACAATTTCTTTGTCTGACTACATCCTGTAACTTAGCTTGTGTTTAAAGTTTCAGATTATACCCTATGTCCCTGTAGATGGGGTTAACATTGCATATAAATATCATGTTACACTGAGGTGTTTTGTTTTTTCACATGAATGCCAAACAGCAGGAAAGTAATTCCGAACCAACTACTGATTTCTCCATGGTGGTAAAATGTTCAGTAAATTGCTGTTGTTGTTTTTATAAACCATAATTATAATTAGTAAATTATGATTCATTATTATCATGCTGAGATCATTTAAGAGAAAAAGAATTATTATAATCTTTGAAAGTTTGTCATAAATTGTGAGAGGAAATTTCTTCTTCAAATATTAAATTTAGGTCAGTAACCCGTAGCAACTAAAAATCTGCGGAATGATCTTCGCTTAACGGAATAATGGTTTTGTTGTAGCTGCATCAAATCAAGAATATTATTCCAAGGCCTTTAACAAGTTGTGGATTTTTTGAAGACCTTACCCTACATCTGGATTTTTTAAAGAATATTTTCCAAGGCCTTACACAGCGTGGATTTTTTAAAGAATATTTTTAAAAGCCTTATACAAATCGAGGTTTTTTTGAAGAATATTTTTAAAAGCCTTATACAAATCGAGGATTTTTTAAAAAATACTTTTTAAAAGCATTATGCAAGACGTGGATTTTTTAAAGAATATTTGCAAAAACCTTATGCAAGGCGTGGATTTTTTTAAAGAATATTTGCAAAAACCTTATGCAAGGCGTGGATTTTTTTAAAGACTTTTCGCAAAAACCTTATGCAAGGCGTGTATTTTTAAAGGATATTTGCAAAAACCTTATGCAAGGCGTGGATTTTTTAAAGAATATTTGCAAAAACCTTATGCAAGGCTTGGAATTTTGTAGGAAAAGATTTTTTTAAAAAATATTTTCAAGGTCTTACACAAGGCGTAGATTTTTTAAGAATATATTTTTTAAAGAATATTTTCAAGGTCTAACAGAAGGCATGAATATTTTAAGAATATATTTTTTAAAGAATATTCTCAAGGTCTTACACAAGGCGTGGATATTTTAAGAATAGATTTTTTTTAATTTTTAAAGAATATTTTTAAGGCGTTAAAAATGCTGGTGTCAAAACTCACTACCCTCACATAACGTTATCCCCACTATTCGGTATTCAGTGGACATATATATTTTTTTATTTTTCAACCTCATTTTCGGTGTGTTCAGCTTTCTCCTAAATGGCCACCTCATAGTAGAGGGTATAAAAAGCTCCAATATATCTTCGAAATATTTTACTATAAATTGCAAATGAAATTTTAAACTATTCATAATTCCATATTTACTTACTCATTATCATTGCCGCCATCGTCAACAATAGTACCCGGATTTTCCATTTCCTTGAGTTCACACGCTTTCTTACATTCTTCCTCGCTCTCCTCTTTAAATGTAAAACTAATGTCATGAGGATCCTTCGCGGGCTTTAGCAAGTGACGCGGTAAACTACGATTTCTTAAATTTAAATTTAAAAATTCTAAATCACTTTCACTGAGTCGTAATTCATTATTTGTAGATTTTGTTGTCGTTGTTGTTGATTTTTGTGTTCCACCACGTTTTGGTGGCAGTGCCGGCTTCTCTTCATCGACTAGCATTTCCAATGCCATACATTCGGGATTTAAACTATTCAAAGCATCTTGTTCTGCCTCAGAGAATAAATTAAAATACTTCGATACATTTTCGATGGCCGTTGGTGGTGTGTAATTATGAAGCGTTTTACCCCGTATCAAATCGCCCAAATGATCTTCATCGATGCCGAAAAGAAACGGATCATCGAGCAGGGTGTGTTTGGCATTTTGTTTAGTGGGTTCGGCCACAAATTGGCTACTGTCCAACGTGGATGTGGTTGTTGTTGTCGTCGTCGTCGTTGGTTGCTGTTGACGATTATTAAGGCTTAAAGTTTTAAGTGTCTCCAATGTATCGCGCAAATTGTGACTGGACAGGCGATTCCGTGGAGCCGAGTTGTGGGCTGAGGGTGCTCTATTTGCTTCGTTTGTACTTGTACTTGTTGTTTCATTATTTGTATCGCCACCGCCCTTTCGATGTCCTCGTAAAGAGCGTAAAAGACGCTTACTTTTACGTAAAGTACTGCCGCCACCACTGCTGCCGTTGTTATTGCTTTGGCCTTCGGCATTTGTTTCACATTTTGAGGGAAATAAAGCCACTGGCGTTTGGTGATGCTGTTGTTCTTTGGCAGTTGTTTTAGATGGCGCATTAATATGGTTTGTTATCGTCATTGTTGTCATACTATCTCGGGATGCATCTTCAACATCTTCAGCGTCGTCTGCATCGTCTAATTGCGTCTCGATAAAATCTATGGCCACCGTATCATACTCTGTCTCGGGATTGTTGTTATTGTCATTTTCATTATTTTGCTCACTTGTTAAGCCCATCGAAGCGGACTTGGCCGCTGATAAGGCCAGTCGTTGTGCCGCAGCCTTGCTGTAAACCTGTCGATAATATTTCTGCTGATCGCCGTACAAGAAACAAACACGCCACCATTGTTTGCAGGCTAGCAAATTGGCGGTACGTGGAACGACGGGTTCAATTGACGATGACATGCTCTCCATGTTGTTGCTTATGGATTTTTGTTGGTGCTCTTATTAATGTTGTTATTGTTTTATTATAATTTTCCCTTTTTGCAAGGATTTTTTGTTTGTTTTCAAATTACAAATGAAGTCCAGCAAGCAAGAACAAAAAAATCGTACTCCTGTTCCTCCTGTTCGTGTACTTAAACATAGACTCTGTGTGGTAATTATTATGGTATCCTCTTTCTTATCGGCTTCTACTTCACTTCACTTTGGAACTTTTGTACTACATGTCGATCAGTTATTGTTTTTTTTTTTTTGTTAAACAATTTTTCTCTTCTTCTCCTTAACGTTTTTGTGAGTGTGTCTGTGTGTGTGTGTGTCTGACTACCAATTTCGTTGGACACAACAACTAAAAAACATTTGCTAGTCCATAATTAACGTTGGTGTTTAGCATGTCTGCGACATAATATTCTTGTTCAGGGCAATATTGCAATTTATTAATGACTATGCGGCATCCTATGTGGTCGCTGCAAATGCTTTCTTCCCTAAAGAAATAAAATGTTTTTTTGTTATGTTAGGGAAACCTTTTCTAAGATCTTGTGGAACAAAAAGAATGTTCTCCATTGTCACTTTGTTCGCAGAAGTCGTTAATTTTCCTTTACGATTTAATGTGTTTTTTGTTTTTGATATTTTTTGTTTGTATTCCTGGTCTACATTTGCTTGGGAAAAAGTAGATCGTTTTTACTATCCTGCTTCTGGGGCCAAAGATCACAATGTAACTTGAACATTTCTTATGAATGTGTGTTTTTAAGGCAAAACTTCGTGTTGTAGTATGCTAATTTGGGATCAATGACTGTACCACAATCAACACAGGATTGTTCATCAAAACCCATGGGTTTAGAAGTTGAAACTAATACGTCGATGCAGCTAATCTGAGCAGATCTGTATTACAGTGGGCTGAGCCCAACAACTCCTAAGCAATGTCAACATATCACCATATTTATTGTCCCACTTTATATTAGGTAACTTAATGATCCTGGCCGAATTTTTCTATAGATGCGACTGAAAACATATTCCTAGGAAATTTAAATTTATGATTATTTAATATGGCCCAGCACTATATTGAGTATTTTTATCGTCCTTGGCGTAGTGAAGAAGTGGCTGTAATTAGGCATTTTGAGTTCTTAGTGTTCTTCGCAGAATACTTTCAAAATAGGTCTATATTTTAACAGTTTAGCTCCTATATGAAGGTCCTAACCGATATTTTAACATGTGTATTTACATAATCTTTATTGTCGTGATACTGGGAAAACTTTACCAAAAACCGATGCTATGAAATGAAGAGAAAAGAAAGCGGAAAACAATCGGGCATGTACATTGCCGTAAACAATGTATAGAATTTGTACAGCCTCTATATAAATATCCCGAGCGATTTTAAAAAAGGTTTATTCGGAAGAAGAGGACTTGTAATGTCAACAGAGTTTTCTTAGCCGCGCCATTATTTGAAATGGAAAGTAAAGTCAACCACCAATGGCTCGCAGAATTCCGGCGTGATGATGAGTTCAACGAAGATGGCGATCGTATTTGACGTCATAAATTGGGCGTCAAATTATATTCGCACTCGCAATATGTTCTCCTCCACTAATATAGCCCGTTCTCATATCTCCCAATTTTAGCTGGGAAAATTTTGTAGAATAAAAAATGTAATCTTCGAAATTGAGGCTTTTTTTTCGTTTCGTATTTTATGTTAGATAATGTTTAATACAAAAATAGTTTTTCTATAGTGGGTTAGGATCTTTACCAAGAAGTTACCTTCCAACAAAAAAAAAATTAAAAAAAATAAAAATAAAAAAACTAACAAAATCTTCATACGAAAGCTATACCACAACATGTTAGTTTGAATAAATTATGTTAAAAGACAATTAAATACAGGATCAGGTTCTATTTTATACCGCACCAGATTAGTTTCTACAAGTTTTCCATGTAATTCGTGGAAAAATTAATATCGATTCACTACTTTTTAGAATAAGCTTGGACACATTTCTTTTAAATCCCAAGAATTAGGATTTGGCATTCGCTTTTTTATTAAAAATTCATTATAGATAAACTTGAAAAATAAATGAACTTTTCCAAATCCAATCACTTAAATCATTTTGTACTAGAACAAAGGAAAACATTCCACAGAATTAGTTCAATTAATATTTTCATCAGATTATTATTCTCTTAAATAGACAGTTCAATAATAAGAGCATGAAAATTATCGTGGATATGTTTTTTTTTTCATTCTTGTTTCTATTCTTTTGCTAACTCTTATATCCATAATCAAACATTAACCTAATTTTTTTCTCACTGTGGTTACCATTCTCCAGCCAACCCACCGACCAACCGACGAACACAATTTGACAATTGCTTTAATTACTGGCCGCATTGTTTGCGACTACCATCCACTAACCCTTTTGGCCAAAAATTAAATCGTGTCTCATAAACCATTGACCAGCCATTTGCGGTTTTTGTTTTATAATTGTTGTTTTGCTGCTGCTGCTGCTGTATTTATATTTGGAATAACGGAAATAGATACATTCTTTTTTGTCTGAGAGAAGCAAAAAAAGCACAACTTTGAACTTTAGCCAAATTGTGGTGTTAAACGCTAAACCATTTCCATTCTCTGGAAAGCCTATTCAACGACAAGATAGTATCTCATATTCTTCTCGTGCCAATGGGCCATATGGAATTGTGGCCAACACATTAACACGGCTCACATTCACACTCTCAGCGTAGATTACAAACAACACCAACAGCAAACAAACACACACAAGTGTATGACTATAATATGTACGTACATACATAATATGTGGACAGACATACACAGATAAGTTGTAGGCTTGCAACTGGTTCGAGTACAACAAACACCGCATGCTCACACGTCACACAGTGGTAAACGTAAACGCATTGTTATGTTCGTGGTAATGATCGTGTTTTAAAACTATTAGTGTTGATTTATGAAAAGTTACCATCCTCCGCCTTCCAATTCTGTTTTTAACAATTTTTTCTCCGTATTCTATGAATATTTGTTTATATTAGGGTGTAACTCTATAAAGTGTAAACATAAAAATTCGAATAAATTATCTTAATTAAAAAATGTATATTTTAACACTAGAGAATTAAAAAGTCATGTTTTCTACATAAAAACATTTCGCCCTCTCTTCTGTGAGGCTGTGGATTGTGTTATGAAAAGAAATTTATTTCAAAGAAACATTAGAGGAGGCATCATTCTCTCCTCCCTCTAAAGTACAAAAATATTTCGTACAAGATTATCCACGTGAAAAATAAAATGACTCTTGTTTTCTCCAAAATACCCTTTACAATCGTATATACATACGTTTTATTATATGTACATTCTATTATATTCGGTACACACATATATTTCGACATCCCTGCATTCTGAGAAATTCAAACTTTGTTAAGTTAATAAAAGTATTTTGTTATGAAAAAAAAATAAAAAAATACACAAAACCGTAGGCCAACAATGAGTACATATACTTTACAACACGGTGTACGTTAACACCATCTATATAACCATATATATGTATGGGTATGCACATAGCCAATACCACAAGCAAATATGCATCTTAAAAACATATTGGTAGTAGGTAGCAACAAATCGTAGTGGGCCCACCAAATAAACGGAATAATTTTTATAGAGTTTTTTATCTTTAAATGAAATTTTAATTGAAAAACTTCTTTGTTGCCATTGTTTATTTTGGTTTCTTAAATTGCAAATTGCCTGAAATTCAAGCGGTATGAAAAAGGTACTCCTTTCCCAGTAAGCAAAATGAAAAATTTCGAAGATAGGGCACCAGCCATATTTCTTCTTCTTTCGATTATGAAACAGAAAATCCATTACTGACCGTGACTTAATCAGAAATGACTTTGGCATTGTTTTGTGGTATTTATTGCGAGTACGTGTTGCTTTCGATGATTTTTCGAGTTGCTATTGATTCTAATAATCTGGTACAGTGTTTTGAGATGGGTTAAAATGCTTATTATTATATGTTAATTTAACGTTTTGGCGATTGTGGCAAATGAACAACGTAAATGACTTAAAGCAGGAGAAGGTACATCAGTGAACACTGCACCACACTTTGTTACCGGTTGCGAGTATAACCATCAAAACATGGACAAGTGTTTCAATGTTTTTCACCAGACACTAACAGCTACTTCAGTTGGAAAATTAAGAGAAAAGTTGTCTAACCACAATCAACCCAGACTGCCAAATTAAAACTACTTCGGATGAATCTAGAATCATTAAACCACCTAAAGTTGAGCGGAACTTGCATATAAAGACTACATCGACATACATCCAGGTGAAAATTGCTAAATCGTCACAGGATTTTATTGTGATCAAAAATATAAATACTTTATGAGAACTGCTTCGAATATATCGATGTGCTATAAACGGAATGACAACTAAAGGACGATATCATTTGAATACAAATCATTTGAATAAATTGAAAAGGAATCTGCCAAAGTGTATCTAATAGTAAAAGTTGAGAAGATCAAGCTGATGATAGTAAAGTTTAGTGGACCAAGTGTGGATCTAAAAAACTACATCTTTCATATAGTTACTATGGTCTAACTAAGCAATTTTGAAAGAGGATCATCTCTCGCCAGACCAAACATACACAGTACAATACGCTGATTCTACACGTGTTGATATATAGATCAAAAGCATGGATACTTGTGCAAGCTGCTGAGTCAGCTCTTGAAGTCTTTCAGAGAATGATCTATGGACCGATCAACGTCGACGGTGAATATCGTGGTTGGCTATACCATCTATACACGGACATCGACATTGTCAGTCGTATGGAGCAACTGCGGCAGCTAGGTCATATTGTGCGCTGATGATGTCCAAGCTCGAGCCTACTGACGGTTCATGGCAAAGCGGAAGGACAAGAATTCGATCAAGTGAAAAAATATCTCGAAATGAATAGAATCACTTTCTGAGTAGGTTCATGCATGTTTATCCGTCTGTTAATGTTAAATTGTACAGCTCATTTATTTGGCCTAAGGACAAACTCTATTGAAATTTGTGAAAATT